CAGATGACGCACCATCCTCACAGCAGCCCTGAGAGGAGCCCCTCTTACTATCCTCAGCTTGTTGTTAGCTGCCATCAAGTCAGCTCCCGACTCATGGCGGCCTCGTGCACAATGGAATGAAATGCTGCCTGCCTGGTCCTGTACCATCCCCGTGATCGTTTGCAGATTGGAGCATTGTGATCCACGGAGTTTTCATTGGCCGATTTTTGGAAGTCGATCGTAGGCCTTTCTTCCTAGTCCGTCTTAGTCTGGAAGCTCTGTTGAAACCTGTTCAGCATCACAGCAACACTCAAGCCCCCACTGACAGATGCGTGGTGGCTGTGCATGAGGTGTCTCCCGCATGGAAGGCAAGAATTCTACCACTGAACCACCATCGCCTCACATTCTCATCTTACAGACAAGGAAACTGAAGTCCGAGCCCCTTTCCATCTCCTCTGCCATCTTGATTGGAAGGGTGCTTAAAACCAACACGTTGGGTTCCTCTGAATGATGAGAAGGTACGTGGCAGGAAATACACTTATAGATTCCACGTTTCCCACAATCCATTCACTTGTTGTTGTTGTTGTTTTAAAAATAACTTATTTTATTTTTGTTGCTGTTGTTGAGAAAATACACAGCAGAACATACACCAATTCAACAATTTCTACACGTACACTTCAGTGACACTGACTACGTTCTTTGAGTTGTGCAACCATTCTCAGCTTGCTTTTCCAAATTGTTCCTCCTCCATTAACATAAATTCACTGCCCCCTAAGCTTCCTATCTAATCTTCTGAGTTGCTGTCATCAAGTTAATCCCATATAGATAGTTCTTAAAAGAGCACTCTGCTCAAGGCAGACATTCTTTGCTAGTTAAGCTAAACTATTGTTTGGTCTTAAGAAGACTTCAGGGGATATTTTTGGCTTAAGGTTTAAGGTTAAAAGATTATTTCAGGGCAATAGTTTCAGGGGTTCATCCGGCCTCCATGGCTCCAGGAAGTCTGGATTCCATGAGAATTTTAAATTCTGTTCTGTATTTTCTCCCTTTTGATCAGGAATCTTCTATAGAATCTTTGGTCAAAATGTTCAGTCATGGTAGCCAGGCACCATCCAGTTCTTCTGGTCTCATGGCAAAGGAAGCAGTTGTTCATGGAGGCAATTAGCCACATGTTCCATTTCCTCCTCCTATTTCTGACTCTCCTTCCTCTGTTGTTCCAGGTGAACAGAGACCAATTATTGTGCCTTGGATGACCGCTTGCTAGGAGGTAGAAGAGAAGCACTAAACACGATATTAGGCCAGTTAACTGGTATCTCCCAGTCCATTCACTCATTCATTCCCCGGTGTCGCCCAAGCACCTAATGGGGTCAGGGCCCCATACAAGGTGCTGGGACACAGCAGGAGCCAAGGCAACCTGGTCCCTGCCCTTGCAGAGCTCAAGTCCACTGGGGGAGATGGGTGTAAACAAAGGGTTACACCTGTCACTGTAATTGCTGCCAAAGTGAAATGGACTTGGGAGGAAAAGTAGAAGGAAGAAATATGACTTTTCTGAGCAAGAAAAAGCTCACGGTATTTTCCCCATAATTTTATTATGAAAATTTTCAGCAGTAAGCAAAGTTGGAAGGCTTTTACAGTGAATACTCAGATAGCCACCACCTAGGTTCCACCATTAATATTTTACTATAGTATCTATCTCTTTGTCCGTCTGTCAACCCACCTTCTTTTTTCCCCCTTGGACATTATAAAGTTTTGAAAGATGAACATGTACAGCCACCAGCTGGGGCTGAGGAACGACCGTTCCATTGCCCATCCCCATGCAGCCCCCTCGTCATACCACCTGCCTGGCCCCCGTGAGAGTTGGAATTGGTGGCCCCTGGCTGTAATGTCAAGGCCTCTGAGTGGGCAAATGGTTTGTGCTTATATGGTTAAGTGCTCAGCTGCTAAACAAAAGGTTGGCAGTTCGAACTCACCCAGCAGCTCCACGGGAGAAAGACCTGGCAGTCTGCTCCCATAAAGATTACAGCCAAGAAAACCCTATGGGGCAGTTCTACTCTGTAACACATGGGGTCACCATGAGTTGGAATCGACTTGAAGGCAACAGGTTTGGGGTTTTTTTTTTGGCTTTACCATCAGCAGGGGTATAGTCAGTAACCAGCAGAGGAAAGACAATCTTGGCTCGCTTACGTTAGTATTTAAGTCTAGGATGCATTGGCTTTTGGGGGAGCCAGTGGTGGAGTGTCCCAGGAGAGAACATGTTCCAGTGCTGTAGCAAACCACTCCACCTCCCCAGGTTGGCCCCTGCAGAATGAGGTCAGGGATGCCCCATGCAAGATTAAAGGGGGATGGGGAGTTTGCCTCATGAGTGCCTTTGGTTAGGTAGGCAGGCCACCTGGACCCCTACCAGCACCTCTGAGCAGCTCTGGACGTGGCCACCGTAGGGAAGGTTCCAGCGTGGCCCTTAGGGGGAGTTGGCTCCTGCAGGCATTGGAGCAGGCTCAGTAGCTGAGAGCAGTGAGCCGAGTGCCAAAAGCCGTGAGCCGAGTGCCAAGAGCCTACAGCCTGGAGAGGTAGCTGCCCTGGGCCCCATGAGGGGCTCAATGAGGGGAGGAGAGTGGGGGTGGCAGTGAGCACAGGCTGAAGGTGACTCACACAGCAAAGGTTCTGGACGGCCCAGTGGCTTCATCCTGGACAACATTTGATGGACTGTGGAGCCTGACCCTAGTAATGATATGAAGTCATACAAATGATAATGTTTACTGAGTGTTCATCATGTGCTGGATACCGCTAAATGCTTCCCATGTGTTATTTTTAATCCCCATGCCACCTCCATGAGCTGCCCCATTGGACATGTGAGGAAACTGAGGCATGCAGAGGTGAGGGCACTTGCCCAGCTGGGGAGTGGTCAGGCTGGGATCCAAACCCCTTCTGTCTGAATCCCCAGCCCACCGTCTTTCCACTGCATTATGGGGTATTTCATTTAAAGTGTCCAAAGCTGTTTCCCCAGTGCACTTCTTTTAACAGCTGTGGTTAGAATGTTCCAGGTGGCTGGCCAGGTGTGCTGGGTCACCTTGGGTGGAATTCGGCCTGCGGGGTTCCTCCCCCAGCTGCCCCCACCGCGTGGTCGGTGCTCACACCAAGCCTCTGCCTGGCCTCCCGGGCGAGGGGAAGCTGGCATTGGCGTTTTCCCTGCTGCGGGTTTGGTGCCCGCCCTGACCTGCCCGGTGGTCTTTGTCCCGTGGGCTCTGCCTCAGGCACCAGGCTCCGTGAGCCCACTTTTCTAGACTCAGCTGCTTGAACAGATAGAAGGCGGTGGGGAAGCACAGTTGTCTTTCTTCAGGCTCGGAGGACAAAGCGCGGGTTGAGCCTGCTGAAGAAAGAACCCGCCATTCTCTGCATGGTTCCTCTGTGCCAGGACCTTTGTAGGGAGCTCTGGGCGAGTGATGTCTCCGGTCCCCGGGACAGGTGACAGCCGGCCGAGGGGGTAACTACGGAGGGAAAGGAGGGAAGGCAGGCAGCAGGCTGCTCACACTTAACATGGAGCCGTGGAGTTCCAGACACCGCCAGCAAGTTTCTAGGCTTCCTTTCATCCACTTGAAAGTGTCATCAATTGTAAGAGACACCGTTAGTTTATGAGCCACTGAGAAAGGAAAAATGCCTCCAATTAGGAACATTATGATTTCAGAGATGAACAAAACGTATGTTTTGGAATTGGATTGTTGCAAGTAATCCTTGTACTATCTGTGTGTTGGTGCTGTTGTCCCATTTCCCAGATGGGGCAAATGAGGCTCAGAGAGCTGAAGGGGCGCCACAGAGCTGGGATTCAAGCCCAAGGTCATCCTGCCATCCTCCACTTTTTTTTTTTTTGGTAAAAATATACATAACAAAACATACACCCATTCTCCATTTTCTGCATTTACAGTTCAGTGACATTGGTTACATTCTTGGCATTGTGTTAGCATTCCTGCCCTCTCTACCCAGATTGTCGCAGCACCATTAATTTAGACTCTCCCCTAAATTTCTCCTCTGTGTTTGAGAGTTAGTTACTGTTGTCAATTTGATCTCATATCGATAATTCTTTAAAGAAGTGCAGTGCTCAAGGCAAACATTCTTTACTGGTTGATCTAAACTGTTGTTTAAAGACTTCCTGGGATAGTTTTGGTTCAAGGTTTAAATGTTATTTCATGGCAGTAGATTTGGGGTTCCCCCAGTCATCCCCCACTTCTTGCTCTGTCTGCTCTGTCTATCGTGGGACTGACTTTTCGTCCCTCATTATGTAGCTGGGACCCCACTGCTGGCGTGTTTTCCTGGGTTCTTACGTAAAAGCTCAGAGCCATGAACTCTGAGTTGTCAACTTATTTCTTTCTTTTAAGCTGGTGAGTGAGAAGGGGAGGAACTTTTCCAAGGTCCTTAGTAAACTGGCACTTCTTCTCCCATCTGGTAAGATGCCTCATCTGGCCTCCTGGCCAGCTGGTCAGTTAGCGATGATCCACCTTGTTTGTCAAGATGAGCTTTTTGCAGCATCAGTTCTGTGAGCTACTTGAGGGCTGCACTGTCTAGTATGGTAGCCACTGACCACATGTAGCTATTTAAATTCATGAAAATGGAATAAAACTTCAAATTCACTTCCTCAGTCAACACTAGCCACATTTCAAGTACTCGATAGCCACGTGTGGCCACCATATTGAACAGCATAGATACAAAATATTCCCATCATTGGCAAAAGTTCTATAGGACAGCACTGCTCTAGGGAGAAAGGGCGCTGTGGACAAATTGGTTTGCCTCTTAGACATTCCAATTGCATTTTAAAGGCTCTGACAAGTCCTGTGGTAAAAGAAACGGTTTCACCTGGAGCCTAGCACTCCCCAAATTGACTTGCCCAGAAACCCTTTTAACCCTTATATACAGCTCTACCTTTCCCAGACACACCCACCAAGTGACCGCTCCTCACATCCCCAGGACCCCCTGGAGGCCCTGCCTATCCCCCTGGTTGGGAATCTCATTCTCTCTTCTCGTTTTGTCCCCAGATTGCCTCGGGTCCCCAGTATTTACTCCCATCAAGGCGGACATCAGTGGCAACATCACGGTACGTATTTGGCCCCGGCAACCAAGGCCCTCACACTTGGATCAGGAATCTAAACCCACCTCGGATCACCAGTGCTCTGCTCCACACTGCAAGTCTCCCAGCCCAAGGAAGGGAAAGGAGGCGTGGAAAACGGGCTTGGTCCCCAGCTCAGGGCCTCCTTTCCAGTCATGCCAGTCTGGAGTGATTGGGACTGAAGTCTAAAGGGATGACCTGATATAGAACCTGCTGGGTCTTTTATCCACCTCTACCAAATGAGAAGTAAACTCCAGATCCACACATTGCTTTGGCACAACTCTGCCCTTCGCCGGTCCCAGTGCCATCCCCATAGCCACCCTCCCTATGAGGGTCCACTTAGGGCCTGGCCTGGGATTTGGACCACCCTGCATTATCTCATTTCTTCACCCTAGCAACCCTTCCAGGCTGGTTCTGTCACTGTCCCCTTTTCACAGATGAGGAAACTGAGGTTCAGAGAGGTTGAAGGATTCACTTAAGGTCACACAGCAAGTTAGTGGCAGAGCTGGGATTCACACCCAGGCCTGCCTGGCTCCAACCCAGGAGCCTTTTTTCCTGGACATCTCTGAATCCTCAAGGGTTGTTTCCACTTGTCCGCAAAAGCGAAACTTCAGATACTTGGTGCCTGAGGCGGTGTCAGTAGTGGCTGGGGAACGTGGACTCCACAGCCGGCCTGGGCTGGATCCCCGGCTCCCACCTGCACCAGCTGTGGGCATGTCACTTGCCTTCTGTGAGCCTCAGTTTCCTCGTGGGTAAGTGGAGATAGTAACCGCAGCACCAGGGTTGCTGTGAGCCTGAAACCAGGCAGCGCACGGCAAGCACCGTGCTCATTCCACCTCGTGGTGGGTGCTCAGTAAATGCCCTCCTGCCGCTCCTGCCCCTGCTGAGCCTGGCGCTGGCAGGAAGGAGAGGGGCCCCGTCGGGGCACTCCTCCACCCACGCGCGTGGGGCCAGCCATCTATGGGGGGCAGCTTTCCAAGGGGAAACCCCGTGTGCTCCATTTCAGAAAATCAAGGCCGTGTACGATACCAACCCCACCAAGTTCCGGACCCTGCAGAACATCCTGGAGGTGGAGAAAGAGATGTATGGAGCACAGTGGCCCAAAGTGGGGGCCACGCTGGCGCTGATGTGGCTGAAAAGGTGACAGCTCGGGTGGCAGGTTGCCTGTGACTGTGAGGAGGAGGATTCAGCGTCCTCTCTGGCTGGGAGGGGTGATCGCTCCTGTTTCTTTCCCATCTGCTATGGACCAGTTGCCCTTCTTGTGTGATGCTAGTTAACAGCTGAGAAAAGTGTCCCAAGGTCTGAGGCTTGTCTAATGGTGATGCGTCCTTGTTCCAGTCCCATCAGAGGCATTAAAAAAAAAAAGCCAAACTCCTTGCCATCTAGTCGATTCTGACTAATGGCAACCTTGTGTGCTACAGAAAATTGTTCCATAGGGTTTTCTTGGCTGTAATCTTTTCATTTTTTTTGAAATAATTTGTCTTATTTTTGTTGTTATTGTCGAGAATATTCCCAGCAGAACATACACCAATTCAATGATTTCTATATGTATAATTCAGTGACATTGATTACATTCTTCAAGTTGTGCAACCATTCTCACCCTCCTTTTCCGAGTTGTTCCTCCCCCTTTAACCTAAACTCACTGCCCCCTAAGGTTCCTATCTAATCTTTTGAGTTGCTGTTGTCAATTTGATCCCATATAGATAGATCTTAAAAGAGCATGGCTGTAATCTTAACGGATGCAGATCACCAGGCCTTTCTTCCAAGGTACCACTGAGGGGGTTCAAACCACCAAACCACTTGTACCACCCAAGGACCTTATAGTGAACATTTATTGAGTATGTACTCTGTCCCAGGCATGTGCTAAGGTCTTTGTATGCCTGGTCGCATGTCATCCACGAGTTAGGTGTGGCTATTATCCCCATCCCAGAGGAGGCCACTGGGGCTTCTGGGGACCACATCACATGGCCAGGTCATGGGGTAGATTTGGGACCGAGCGACCAAGTGCATTTGTGCAGGCTGTGCACTGCATAGCGGTGTTCTGTCTCAGGGCCGGCCCATCGCACGCATGGTGGATTTAGAATTGTGACAGTTTCTGGACAGAACTGCAGCGTCTTGCAGAAAGGGGGCCCTAATTTACACACACGTGTCCTGTGGGCTGGGGTAGGGATGTATCTCCAGGTGGGATTTGAACCAGGTGGTCTCAACTCAGAGTTCATGCTGCTCAGAGCCACCACGCTGTCCTCATAGCAGATACCTGAAGCCACATACGATTGTTCCTGTCTTACAGATGAGGCCACTGAGGCTCAGAGAGATCAGGCAGCTTGCTTGCTGAGTGCACACTACCCTCTACCAGCTACAGAATTCTTTAGCTGTGCAAATGCCACAGCCTTCAGCAGCCGCTGTGACTCTCTGGCTGTGAAGCTGGGGACTGTTCCTGACCCACAGATGATCCCAGTGTTGCCCTCTCTCTGGGCCTGGGGTCAGGAGGCCAGAAGGGCAGCTCCTCCCTGGTCTCCCCCTCCACCAAAGACTGCCACCCCCCACACTCACTTCTTTGGTGAATGGAGCTGGGAGAGTCAGCCCCCCAGAGGGTGAGGCCGCGTGGGCATCCAGGGTAGGCAGTAGGCGGGCTGCACATTCACAGCGTGTTTGAGGAATTGCCCTGCTAGCTGCCTGCCTTTGTGTTAGCCTAGAATGAGGAAAGGCCCTGGGCCAGCCAGCCAGCAGGTTCCCTGGGTTTCTCAGGAGGAACAGGGCAGGTGGCAGCGTTGCACATCAGATGCGGCAGAGCTGGGTGCCTGGAAGGGCAGACGAAGGCCCTAGTGAATGCCAACAGGTTGGGCACTTATTGAGCACCTGCTGTGTGCCACATCTGGGGCTGGGATGCTACATCATATTAGGCATGGTCCCTTAGGGCACCCAGTCTGGGGAGGGGTCAGGCTGGTGGGCAAGTTCTGTTGGCAGGATGTCAGAGCCAGGCACAGAGAGAGGTCAGGGAAGGCTTCCTGGAGGGGGGACCCTGGGGACTCTGAGCAAGGGTGCCCCAGACATGGGAGGAAGAGAGGCTCCGAAGGTTTGGTCCAGCCAGGGCTCTGATGTGAGGTGGGAGCGAAGAGGCAGGATGGGATGAGGGGGAGTTCCAGCTTGGTCAGGACCCCGGGAGCCACCAGGGGGCCTGAAGCTGGTCACTGACGGGAGCAGATGGCACTTTAGAAAAATCATCCCAGCTACCGGGTGGAGGCAGGAGTGTTAGAGCTGGGAGAGGTGGAGGGCCTTGGGAGAGGCAGGGGCTCAGGAGAGGCGGCTGGCTGGGTCAGGGATGCTCTGAGACTGATCCTGAGGGATGAGGGCTCTGATCCACCAACCTTTCCGTTAGCAGTCAAGTGCTTAACTGTTTGCGCCACCCAGGGACGACTCCTGGCACCTTGTTGTCGTGTGCCATCGAGTGGATTCCGACTTATGGCTACCGCCCGTGACAGAGTAGAATTGTTCCATAGGGTTTCCCAGGCTGTAATCTTTATGGAAGCGGATCGCCAGGCCTTTCTCCTGCAGAGCTCCTGGCACCTAGTAGGCACTTAATTCCGAGTCTCTCGGGGTCTGCCCTGCAGGTGGTGTGCTGGCTCGTGGCAAGGCCGGTGCATCCAGGTCCTAAAGAGCCACCTCCTTTCCTGGTGCAGGGGCCTCCGCTTCATCCAGGTCTTTCTCCAGAGCATCTGCGACGGGGAGCAGGACGAGAACCACCCCAACCTCATCCGCGTCAACGCCACCAAGGCCTACGAGATGGCTCTCAAGAAGTACCATGGCTGGATCGTGCAGAAGATCTTCCAGGTGAGGGCCCAGAGGGTCACCAGCTGGCAGGCTCCACTGCCTGTCCCCCAAGGCTTAGCGAGGCATCTCCTGGAGCCAGCACTTGCCCACCCGACTGAGGGCTCCCTGGCCACTTGGGACAAGGCTGGGGTGTGAGGGCCTTTGTGAGCACCTGCCCAGCCCCATTCGTGGCCGTGGCCATGGCAGGCGTTACTGTGATGTCCCTGGTGTTTCTGTCTGCGTGCCTCGTCCTGGGAGGCCCTGCTCAAGAAGCCACAGGAAGGACTCTAGGACGTCAGGTTGAAGGTAGGCCGGCCTCGCTGGCCCCTCAAATTCAGCTGCCTTCTCACACTGGGCAGGTGTCTTAGTTACCTAGTGCTGCTGTAACACAAGTACTGCAAGTGGGTGGCCTGAACAAACAGAGATTTGTTTTCTCACAGTCTAGGAGGCTAGAAGTCTGAATTTAGGGTGCCAGCTCTAAGGGAAGGCTCTCTGTATCGGCTCTGGGGGAGATTCCCTGTCACCTTCTCCAGCTGGCCATCCTTGGAGTTCCTGGACTTGTGGATTGGTCAGCCTTCGGAGTCGATGGTGTCAGTCCTCCCTGTGTCTGCCTTCTTCTAGGCCTGATCTGCTCTTTATACCTCAAGTGCTGAGTTTAAGATGCACCCTGCACTGACATGGCCTTGTGAATGTAACAAAGAAAGCCCTATTCCCAAACGGGATTACATCCACAGGTATACAAAACCAAATCCATTGCTGTTGAGTCAAATCCACCTCATAGAAAACTTATAGGACAGAGCAGAACTGCCCCATAGGGTTTCTAAGGAGTGGCTGGTGGATTTGAACTGCTGAGCTTTTGGTTAGCAGCCAGGCTCTTAGCCACTGCACCACCAGGGCTCCATTCCCAGGTATAGGTGTTAGGATTCCAATACATACTGTTTTGCGGGACACAATTCGATCTGTAACAGCAAGGAAGAAAGAAGGGCCCCTGTTGCTGCGGGGACATCAGCTGAAAGGACACTGGCCTGCGAGGTTCTTGGTGGCTTGTGTTTGAGTGACACTGGCCAGACCACCTGGAAACAGGGCCCTCAGCCCAGCCTGGTTAGCTGAGGGCCCCTTGGGTTACCAGGGTAACTTGGGAGATGGTGAGAAGCCCTGTCGCGGGCCCACGGGGTCGGGAACCAGTCTGGGTCCAGACAGGGAGAGCTGGTCCTGTGGCAGGAAACATGGCCACCTCTGGGCGACCCACCCCAGCAGAGCTGGGGGCAGGATATAATAATAACATCGTGGACCTGGCCCTGCACGGCAAGCCATACTCTTCACAATGTGTCATAGGGTGGGTACTATTCTTATCCCCATTTTACAGATGAGGAAACTGATGCTTAGAGAAGTTAAGTATTTGCTCAAGGTCACACGGTAAAAAAAAAAAAACAAAACAAAATAGAAGGCTGGAATTTTTACCTCCCTAAGCCTCAGTGAAGGAGCCCTGGTGGTGCAGTGGTTAAGCGCTCGGCTGCTAACTGAAAGGTCAGCAGTTCGAACCCACCAGCCGCTCCGTGGGAGAAAGATGTGGCAGCCTGTTTCCATAAAGATTACAGCCTTGGAAACCCTATAGGGCAGTTCTACTCTGTCCTGTAGGGTCACTATGAGTCAACTCGACAGCAGTGGGGTTTTTTTTGTAAGCCTCAGTATCCTCATCTTTCAAATGGGTATAAAATAGACCCTCCCTCAAAGGGTCATTGTGAAGATTAAATGAGATAACCTGTATGAAGTGCTTGGCCCATGGGTTATACTCAGTAAATTGAAGGTATTACTGTTTTTATTGCTACTGATATTATTATTTATAATTTTCCCTGCACTATCAAACTCATCTCCTAAGCTTTTTGTCTGGTTGCATGTTTTCCTTCTGGGAGTTTCCGACTCTCTCTGCACTTTTCATGTATCTGGGCAGCACTGAAATTTAGGGAAGTGTCACCCCCCTCAGGACAGAAGAGGCCACAGCACAGAGTAGCAGCTGTCTCCCTTGCTCAGAAAGTGAGTTTCCAAAGAGGCAGTTCACCTTTTTCCAGAGCAGGAGACCCAGAGGGAAGAGGTTCACCCACCCTGAGCACCTCCAGTGTGCCTGGCTGGGGCTATGCTGAGCGCTCTGTACAGCCTCCTCTAATCCTTACAAACGCGACCCGATTAGGTGGGTACCCTTGTTATCCCCATTTTACAGATGAGGAAACTGAGGCTCAGAGAGGCTAAGTAACTTGCTTAAGGCTCACAGCTAGTCGGCAGCATAAGCTGGAATTTGAACCCAGGTCTGTCTGTTCCTAAACCTGGGGTCCTTCCTGCTGCCCTCAGGGGGGCAGAAGGAAAAATGCATCTCTTTTGTCCTTTCCCTTCCAACGCCATGAGTAGCACAGACCTCTGCCAAGCACAGACCTCGGGGAAACGCCCCCAGAACCCCAGCGTGCCCAGCTCAATGTCCTGCCCCACTAACGCTGTGCCACCTCCCCTCTTGCCCATCCCAAGGCAGCGCTGTACGCAGCCCCCTATAAGTCCGACTTCCTGAAGGCACTCTCCAAGGGGCAGAACGTGACAGAGGAGGAGTGTCTGGAGAAGATCCGCCTCTTCCTGGTCAACTACACGGCCACCATTGACATCATCTATGAAATGTACACCAAGATGAACGCTGAGCTCAACTACAAGGTGTAGACGTGCCCGGCGGTGGCACTTCCGGGGCCTGTGGCCTCCCACCATGGCCACGCGCAGACACAGGCAAATCCAAATCACTGTGAATCCAGCCAGCGGGCTGCCCCAGGCCCACGTTCCCCAAAAGCGGCCCAGAGTCCAGCCGGGGACTGCAGGGGACGGCCCTGGCTTTTGAAAAGTCATGTTTTGTCTATTCTACTGGAGCAATAAATAACGACCCCACTTCTGAATCACCTTTGAATTTCACAGCAGCACAGACTGACTTTATGCCTTCATTTCAGTGTGGTAAAAACCAATTAATGTTTCTAATAAATCAAGTCCTAGGGTTTTTTGTTCCCCCCGCCCCCCATGCAGAGCACGACTCTGGGGGAAGGGGGTAATACACCTCACGTTCAAAATAAGCACGTTTCCTTATGAGGATCGAGCTGAATGATGTTTGGGGTATTTTAAGGACTATGATGAGTTTGATTTGAAATTATGCAGGGCTCTTCAGTTGGAATTTAAAAACGAAAAAGCAAACTGGTGTGTGTTCTCATGTGGTTTGCACCACCCAGCCTTCTGGCACTGTTATTATAGATCCTAGTCTTTCTGACTGTCTTTTGCCAGACAGAATTTTTTATAGCTGAAACAAGCCAGCAAGCCTTTGATGAACCCAGGGGCGTTTATTTTAAAGCGATTGGGCACAAATAATCGACCACAGATGACTGTTTGTATCTTTCTGCATACTTATCCTCTTCAGGGACCGCTTTTTCAACCTAAGAAACTACCTACCATGTGTATTCTCTTGAGGGGGACAGGATGAACCCCCCACTGCAGAGACCCAAGACAACGCCTCGCTGCCTTAACTGCCATTCCCAGCGCTGAAAAGCGCTGTATTTGTTGAATTGTTGGGGCAAACCAAGCAACCCCAAAGAATTGGTGTGTGTTTTTAAAAAAAAAAAAAAAAAACCCAATGAGGAACAATTGGTGATTTTTATGCAGAAACTAAATGATCCTTAATAAATAAATCTCTATTTTGGAATCACATCTGTGTGCTGTTTTAGTTCTTGAGTGCTTTTTTTTAATCTCTGGATCAGAGGTTACAACTGGGGGACCCTTATGCCAAATCCAGCCAACAACCTGTTTTCTGACCCCCTTGGTTTTAAAAAAATAGAACTGGTTGCCAGATTTAAAAACTGGGAGATTTCCCATAAAAATCTTGATTCCCAGCTTCTTTTGAAAAAATCAGGCTGCTTGGCAGGAGCCTGGAGACAGCTGACCCGTTGGCTGGATGGGGAGGAGGGAGAACTCATTCTCCACTTAGCTTCAGTCCCTCCGCTTCCTGATGTCTCCCCGGCCCTGTGTCAGATGGATATTTGCACTTTTTTATTGGCATGGGCTGATGGCTTTTTCTGATAGTAGGGTTAAATATTTTATTTCATTCCTGCTCCTATAGAGCTGATGGTCTTGTGGGCAAGATGAACCAATATATCAACAATGATGATACAGAGTAGTCAGCGCTCAGAGCCTGGGGCCACAAACAAAGGGCTCCCGGAACTCATCTTAAAGAGTCATGGAGGTGGATGGGGGGCTCCTGGCAGAGGAGGAGGGGTGGGGGGTGCTCCATTGGAAAAGGAAAGGCTTAGGCAAAATCCTGGTGGCTTGACCTACCCAGGTGGCTTGGTGGAGCCGCACTGCAGACTGTGTGTGTGTGCGCGCGTGTGTGTGTGTGTGTGTGTGTGTGCGTGCGCGTGTGAGAAAATGATGGTGGAGTCAAGAGTTACATGGTGCTGCCAAGAGATTTGAGCTTATGTGACCCAGCGGGAGCCGGGCTCACAAGGACTTACAAGAACACATCAATCAGGCCCTGAGATAAAGACAATAGTTTGGACAATCTTGGAAAATATCTTTTAGGGAACCTTTCACATAAGTCAGTCAAACAGAACACTAAAGACTTTCCACTCTTAACCTTTTTCTATTAGCATTTAGTGAATAGAAAATTTGTTGGACCAATGCAGACCCTCCTGACTGTCGATACGAAAACTTGGTCCAATGATTGTTAAGAAAGACAATTCAAAATGCAGGATCATGGTTTCTAGCCAATCTGTGAAAAGGTGACGCTTTCAATGGCTTTGCCCATTTTGGTAATGTTAACGTACCGATGACTCTGTAACGTTCCTTGGACTCAGATCAGACGTGGCTGTGGCAGCATACTTGTCCGTCTTCCCACTTTTGCTTATTCTGTAATATTTCCTTGGACTTGGACAGACATGGCTGTGGCAGCATGGTTGTCCTATTTCTTACTTTTGCCTTTTTGAATATATGCTGAATAAAACTTCCTTTTTGCTTTTTAAAAAAAAGATTTGAACTTGACACTGAAAGTTATGGAGCACCTTCAAGGGTTTTGTGCACAATCCAGTCACATAGCTGATACAGAAGGTTCCCTCTGGCATATGGCCAAGGGATGCAAGGCTGAACTGAGCTTTTTTGCTGTTTCTGTGAATAAGATCTCCGTTGTCATTGTATTTTCTAACATTACCCATAGTAGGAATGCTCCTAATCTTTCTAAGCTCTAATTGCATTGTACGTTTTTCCTTCTGGGTTTCCTAGAAATACAAAGTTCTGCCAGTAAATTAGAAGAATTTTGTTTCTTCCTTTAAAAAAGACCTTGTCTTCAAGTCTCTAAACCAAGCCCATTGCCACAGAGTAGTCATTCCAACTCATGGCAGCCCTATGTGTTACAGACTAGAAATGCACCATAGGGTTTTCTTGGCTGTAATCTTTATGGAAGCAGATCACCAGGTCTCTCTTCCACGGCACCACTGGGTGGATTCAGACCACCAACCTTTAGGTTAGTAGTCGAGTGTAAACTGTTTGCATCACCCAGGGATTTTCTTCATGTCTCTAACGTAATACAATCGGACGAGGAGGGCACTGTCTTTGCGGGAAGGAGGGATTTCCCCAGGGCAGCCCCCTTCACCTCTGTTACCTGCCTGGCCCCTGGAGCACTTCAGGGTTTTGACCCCAGATACAAAGCCAGCAGTGCATTTTTGCTTTCCCATTTCACCCTTGTCTAAGCTGGACTGAGTTCTGCCTGAGGCAGGGAGGAAGGAGCACACATCGAGCACCTGCTGTATACCAGGCCCTGCCAGGTGCATTACACACATCATTTTACACCCACCCTGAGATGTGGGCATCGGGAGGTCCATTTATCAGATGAGGAAGCTGAGCCCTGGTGGGGGAGGGGCAGAGGGAGCTGGCAAGGGTGACCCAGCCAGAAGTGGGAGTGCTGGGGTTTTACATCTGACTCCAAATGTCCCCTCAGCCATGTCCATTTCTATGCCAGCTGACAGATTGAGCCCGTGTTCCAGCACACCTCCCTACCAGAGTGTTCCCAGGGAGGGGAAGCCACCTTACCTGACTCAGGTTAACCTGATACAGCACAGAAACCCAAATTAGCCCCAAAGTGTGACAATGGTTGGCTCATTTATTCACTCGATGCACTCAATTAAACCTCACTGAGTCCATTATAATACAATACTTCAAGCCCATTATAATACATCTCTATTATAGGGTCGCTATGAGTCGGAACCGACTCGACGGCACATGACAGGAACAACATTACAAAGAAAGGAAGCCCACGACATCCCTCAGAACCTCAGTTTCCTTACCTGTAACATGGGGATCTAGTAGGCATCCACCTCAATGGGGTTGTGAAGCTTAAATGTTCTTCACCAGTTGCCATTGAGTTGATTCTGACTCCTGGTGACTCCACGTATGTCAGTGTACGTCAGTGTAGAACTGCGCTCCATAGGGTTTTCAACGGCTGATTTTTCAGAAGCAGATCACCAGGCCTTTCTTTCGAGGCACCTTTCAGTTACTAGCTGAGCACTGAACTGTTTACATCACCCAGGGACTCCTAAATTAAATGTTACTGTTCGTAAAGCAATTAGAAGTGTCTGAAGCATAGTAAGTTGTCTCTTAGTAAATGTTAAATAAAACTGCAAGGATATATTTGTATGATGTGTGATGTGTGATGTATGATGATGTGATCAAGCATTGCAGTCCTGGCTCTGCTATTTATTAGCTGCGTAGCCTTGGACAAATCACTTCAGCTTTCTGAGCCTCAGTTTCTCATCCATAAAATGGGGATAGTAACAGTCCCTAGCTCATGAGTCAATGAAACTGCATGAGCAGAAACTTAGCTGCATAATCTTTCAGGGTTGACCCAATTATCATTATTTGCAGAGGATTATGGGAGAATGGAAGAAGACCATCTCACCGCGGTTTTGTTGATTGGTTGATAGGTTCGCCTGTTCACGCCCGTCGGATTCCACTGCGCGCCCCACCGCCCCGCGCCTGTGCGCGGAGCGCCTGCAGCTCTCGCGATGGTCGGTAGGTGGCGCCGTCCTCAATGGGACAAGGCCAAGGAGCTGGGAGCTCCCCAAGTTAGGGATGATTTCCAAGGACTAAATGAGGAGCTCCATTTGAACACTACTGGGAAAGCCTGAAGTCCCTTAAGCGGGTGCTTTGGGGTCTGACTTCAGACCAGACTTTTACGTATCAGTCAACGGTGTGTCTTGTTACTACTGCTGCTGCTACTACCAGCCGTGCAGAGAGACTGGCTACAGCTTGTGCAAAGACCCTGAGGCAGGAGAGAGAGAGGCCAGGGTGGCTGCGGCCTGCAGAGCAAGGGGAGAGGATGGTAGGGGTGGAAACCTAGAGGGGTCGAGGCCAGCGTGAGCTGGGCTTTTGTTCTAAGGGCAGGGGAAGTCATGAAGAGTGGGTGACAGAGCCAATTCACAGTTTTAAAAGGTGTCACCTAGAATCTCAATGGGTCCCTTTTGGGGACTCAGTAAAGAGACTCCCCTCCCCCCCCCACCTTTGCCTCATTCTGGCTGGGAGCCCAGGTGGCGCAGTGGTTAAAGAGCTTGGCTGCTAACCAAGAAGTTGGCAGTTCGAATCCACCAGGAGCCTTGGAAACCCTATGGGGCAGTTCTACTCTGTCCTGTTGGGTCTCTATGAGTTGGAATTGACTCAGTGGCAATGGGTGTATCACCTACATTGTGTGCATTGTGCTCTACATCATGGTGGGGGGCGGGGAGGCAGGCCTCTATGAAAGTCACAAGGCCTTTCTCCAGAAAGTGCCCACTCACCTGTCTCACAATTTCATGCACCACTTCAGGGCCTCTACGGACCCCTGGAAGCCCTCCCAGGGACCCAGTGGGGAAGCCCCGAAGCACCATGACCCTGCCAGGACCAAGGCCTAAATAACCCCTCCCTCCTTCCTTCTCTCTGGCCCTCCCTCCCTCTCTATACCACAGCCTTCTGGAGGCCATGTTTGAACTGCCTATGGCCAGCCATGGCTCAGCCACACCCACAGGCCACCAGGCTGCTGCCCTGAGGAATGAAATCAAGACCAGTGACTAAGCCTCCAAGAGTGGCTGTGTCCATGGCAA